GTATGTTCAATAAAATACTCAATTTAATTGTTTTCAATTATTTTGATTAACTTACATTGAAACTGAAAGGTTTCAACAATATACATTGTTTCCGGGTTTTGATTAATGGATTTAAGAACCAAAAAGGAATAAATCTTTCACCGAAGCAATTATGTTTTGCGTGAAATATTTCATTTTTTGCATTTATTTTCTTCAATGAAAGAACATTTTATGATCATCCTCGACCATTCCGTCCTCTTAGCTTCCTAAAGTGCACATACTATAATCATAAACTGTAATAATATTACCTTTAAAAAAAGCCTGCGAAACTTCAATTGAAATATGTTTCCACTAAGCGCACTAACGCCTAATAAGGGCTTCTTATTAAAATAGAGATGTGTTCCACCCTCTCGATATATTTTGTACCCTTCATCCATCATTTAGCAGCTATTCATCTGGTTCGAACTACAAAGAAACGCGAATTAATAAAGTTAAATGCGCCACACCCCCCAAAGTGTTCGGAATACTCCCTTAATCAAAACAAATCTAATAAAAGTGAACTGTAATAAGGAGATAGGTGTATGGCAGAAGATAATTTAATTTTGTAGCAGTTTATGTTTGACCTAGGGGGAACGTCTGTGGGAAAAGAGCTGCACACGACTGCACTGGTTTGTTTATTAAAAGAAAAATAATTCAGTTAATCCAAATTGCATATCGGGTGGTTTATTTTCTTTTACATCTTCCAGTGCTCAGTGATGAATTATACAGGGTGTTCCGTAAGCACATGATCAAAAGGTCGCTGAGACATTCGTTGGCGAACAAATGTTTGGGTCCTTTGCTATGGATGGTCAAAGATCTCCAAAAAATATGTTTTTTCATTTGAAAAAGTGAGAAGAATAGTACGATGGATTGTAATAAAACTCGCAGTAAATTTCCTCCTATGTAAGGCTCATGTTTTGATAATGCAACCGAGTTTATCCACCTTGGGCAAGTGAGGAATTCTTGAGTGTCTTAGTACAAAAACTACCAGAACTTTTTGGTTCGTAGCTGGCATCAACTGATTTTTTTTGAGTTGATGCACTACTCGTTTTGAACATTTAATTTTTGGACTGTTTGTAAAATCTTGTAGCATTCAAAGTTTTTGCGCAAAAACTGTAAAGTGTTTTATAACTTTTACCTGACCGACATCGTCAAAGTCTTAGAGCCGATTGTCTTTTGGAAGCGTTTCGTCCGAATTGCGTTCATCAGAAATCTCACGAAAAGAAGATGCTAGTCTTTAGCAAAATATGGTCCTGACGTAGAAAAAAGTCCACAGCAAGTTTCACTAAAATTCATCTAAGCACTTTCCTTCTAAAACAGGAACCTAATTTAAGTTTTGTTACTGTAAAAAGTTAATGAAAGTCTAAAGTTGTCAGTTGGCAAGAGAGCAGAAATAGTTTTTTGCGCAAAAAATGTGAATGCTACATGATTTTGTGAAGAGGACGAAAATGTCAGAAGCGGATTAGTGCATCAACTGAAAAATGAAATTAGTTGATTTCAGCAAATAAAACAAAAGTTCTGGTAGTTTTTGAACCAAGACACTCAAGAATTCCTCACTTGCCGAAAGCGGATGAACTCGCTTGTTTCATCAAAACATGATTTTTAGATGGGAGTAAATTCACAGTGAGCTTCATTAAAATCCATCGTAGAATTTTCCCGATATGTCAAAAAACGTATTTTTTGAACAACTTTGGACATCAACAGCAGAAGAACCAGACATTTTATCTGAATAAAAGTTATGCCAAATTGTCTTCTTTTGATCCAAAAAATACCCTAGTTGCTTTTTGATCATGTGCTTACGGTACACCAGCATAATCCAAATAGGTAGCAGGGATATACAGTGGGGGCAAAAAAATGGATCCTATTTTTTTACCATGTATATATTCAAAAACCCTGAAACCTGTCGATTTTTTTTAATTTTTACAAACTTTAAGGGTTTCTAATATTATATAAGATTGCTCCAGAAGCAGCGGCACTCGTTTAAGTTATATTTTTTTAATTCAAGTTGATTTTGAATATTTTTACATACACATTACATAACCTTTTTCGATTTTAAGCTATTTCCAGATATCACAATTGAAACGAAGTGATGGCCATTAGATAAGCATCAAAAATTATATAACTTTTTGTACTAATCTGGTAATTTGAGTTACATTTTTTGCCGCAAGAGTTCATTATATTGTTCGAACGTATTGTAAAAGTAAACTGCATGTATGTAAGTGACAAAGGGCGAATAGTAATTTTTACCATGGTAGCCTATGGTGAACGAAAGAAATCTACCTAATCTAATCTAGTATGTGGAAGTTTTAATAATTTAGATGATTTTTATCAACGGGATTCAGGACAATAAATAAAAACTGGTATTCTTCAATTTGTGATAAAAGTGGATAAAATGTTTTACTGTGGGTCTGACACAAGACATCGGTTATATGAAAAATGTTATACAAAATACTCTTCAAAAAAAAAGTATTAATATTACTGTTTGAATGAAATGTTGTTGATTCCTTCAGTTTTGCAAAATTATGCAAAACATCTGGAGTAATGGCGGACACCTTGCGTGGAATGTTTTATTTATCGTTTATCATTTTGGCTTAATGGAAAACGGACATAATTGTAGCTATTAATCGACCCAAACTCGTCGCTGTAATCACTGAAATTCCTCTCAGAGGTAGGGAAGAATACCTCGAACAGGTTAAACAACATAGATGGGTAGGTAGGAAGGGAAAGGAGAAATAGAATGAACAGTTCGCTCGTTAGCGTTGAGCCGCCTAGATTTGTTTTTATGAGGATATACGAACAAACACGTATGCAAAACAAGCCACCACAGTTGCACAAGCAGACAACATAAAAATCACTAAAGTCCTTATCAGGTCAAATTGAGAACTTTGAAAAGAAAGTTGTTTTGCGTTCGGAATACCGTCAAACTGTCAATGGTCATTACTTTTATTTGTGTTAGCACAATTCAAAAATTGAATAAAGTTTCTGGCAGTATATTTAAAAATTTAAAAGCGTGTTTCCTGATCTCTCGAGCTTGTGATCCCGCCCTCTGAAGCGCTAGATTATGATCATTTGTATAGTACTACAAACCCAGAAAATGTGTGCTAATTTTGTGATTTACAAAATCGACGGTTTCAGCATAAATGGTTAAGAAAATATAGGCGATGCTCTATACCTTTTGCGTACGTAATATTGCGTTTAGTTATTTACCCTTTTGAGCAAAAGTACTGTTCTTCTTTAGGGCATTAGTTCATCAATTTACATATCAAGAAATTGACGAGAAGTCGATATAAATAACGCAAGGTTTTGTTTAATAACTTAATTATATATTTGCTTTCTTTCTAAAGCACTAGGAACTTGGAAGCATTTTATTACGCTAAACGAGTTATAAAATATGGAAACGGAAACGAGATATTTGCAAATAATCGTTTAAAACTTACCATTGGTTTTTAGAAATTATAAGTAAATGTTAAAAACTAGGCACAATACATATTGGCAAACAAAGAATTCAAATTTGGTTTTTGTAGATTTTCGTAAAATTATTTAAAAGTACGCGAATAAATCAAACTTTATTGAGTATCTGCAAAGGTCCTTATAAAACCAGAATATCGATCTTCGAGATTCTCCGACTGTTGAGGAACTAAACAGACGATCTTAGCGATTATTGTAAAGTCCGATTGCATCAACATTTTCATTTGTTTGTTTTGTATGTAATGAAATGTCCACCAAACAGACTTTTTTACATAAAAAAAATATTATAGCTATTTTTTGTTTCTAGAATTAATCGCGGAAAATATAAAGTACTTTTCAATTAGTTCACTATTTGTGAAAGACCTATATTAGATAATTAGACAAAAACCATAGGAACGTGAGAAAAAAATAATTTCAACGTTTACCAAAGAGAAACTTTCTATCGGAAAATACTAAGACATCAGTTTTATTACCCGTTCCAGTTTGCATTGCAAAGCCATTGCAACAAATTTATTTGATTTGTTCAATGTTTTCTAGTAAACAATTAATTTTTTCCAGTCAAACGAGTCAACAAAAATTAACTTTTTTGTGAAACAATTTTCTAACTGGCCTGATTTTGCAATGAACCGCTGCAGAAAATTAGTCTGCAAAAGAAACATTTTCTAAAATTCTCTCAAAAACGTATCGATTTATCTAGGGTGTACACAAAATGAAATCTATGTGAAAAAATTATGAAGAACCAGTCTTTTTTTCTTACCTGTTTTGCTTTTGGAGGAAATTATTGGAATTAGGCAGTATCACGTGATGTTTTTTAGGGAAATAGTTTGCGCAAGAAAAACACTTTTATGCATTTGATACATTTTTCGAAAACTGTAAAAAAATTGAATTTTTTGGTTTGGAGTATGGTAGTAAACGTCGAAATTTCGGGCTGCGGTTTGTTGAGTAAGATTTTTGAAATTTAGGTAAAATTAGAAGAAATCAAGATGTTGAAAACATTTTTCGCCATTGCGAAACAGGAGCTCTTGTTTGATGTTGAATCTTGTTTGATGTTATCTTGCTTGTTTCTTTCTGATAAACATGTTTTGGAAAAAATTATATTCGGTTACATATAAACAATTTCAATTAAATTTCTAATGTTTCAAAAATTGCATTTAGTATAACAAATAGTTAATAAATTAGTTGCAAAACTGATCTTTGAGGAAATCTAATGTTCTCTAATCTAATCTAATCTAATTGACAGAGAGTCGAAAATAGGAAACTATGTTATTTGGGTAATTTTTGTGCTTCAAGAGTAGTTTATTCGAAATAAACTTTTCCCATCAAATATTATTAAAGTTGGCTTTTGATCCACTTTATTTTGAGTCGTTTAGCTGGTATCACATAGTATGGTTTATTTATATGTTTCAGCTTTTTTAGGGAAATTTTCATAAAATCAGTGCAAATTCAAAATTATCAAACTGTAAAATGGCATTCTTTCTAAGTTGTTCGTATTACTATTACATAAAAAATCACGATTGAAAAATTGTTGGCTATTATTTATTGAACATAATACATAGACAAAAGTATAAAATAAACTTTGCTAAAAAGTTTGTACATCAAACCACACATTAAGCCTCTATCCTAAAGTTGCTTTCACGTTTACATTGAAAATAATAATTACGTTAAGTATTTGTACCGAATAAAAATAATTAGAACCCGACGCGACGCATTGAGTTTTTTTCTAGATTCTTTTTGCAAATTTTCCTATCGAGGATCGTTCAAACTACCTCCGAAAAATACGACCCTTTAACACAATGTTTAAAAATCTTCCTCTTTTGCGGTTGCATTGTAGTATCTCCTCGAGTATGCTGCCGGTGAATTATCACACATACTAAATAGTCCAAACCATCGTTTTTGGTAAGCGTAAATTCCTAAAAGGATCAGCGGAATAGCAATCAGAACACCTAAAAGTAAAATCACATTTTTGGAGTTTTTTTACTTAAAAACGAAAATAGTACCCACCAGCTAAGATTCCCACCAATAATAGTGCGTCTTTTTCGGGATGTGCCCCATATTCATCGAGGCATCGCATTTGGTAATTTCGATCCTTTAGTTCTTGGAGAGTGTAACTAACCATTTCAATCGGAGCTCCACATCTATTTACAAGCACATCAAACACATCATTAAATGCTGGAGATTTTTGACATTCTTTGAGTAATTTAAATATTTTTTACAAACTTCTTTTTGGGTATTTCGCCTCAAAAATTTTTGTCTTTAAAAAAGACAGAATTTCCTCACGTCTTTTATTACAGATTGA